TGCACGTTGCAGGTATGCATGCTGCGGCTTTAATACTTTCACACCAAAAAACACACAACAATTTTAATATTCATTACTCATCAGTACAAATAAAATAGAGCTTATCAATGTTCTTCTACGTCACTCAATAATATAAAAATTGACAGTATTTACAACACTAGAGTTCAATGCAACTTCCAATTTGGCTACTACTGAGAACTTATCACCAAAATAAAAAATGTGACAACATAAGAAACTGTTTATTATTTTAATTAACTCCAAAAGAATAAAGAAATTGTAATATGTTCTCCTTTCTGATTCTAATGCGATAAGTCCTCATTAATAGCTAAACTTTAGCTATATAGAAGCAGTGTATCTTGAAATACAGTGTTTGCAATAGCAAAAGTTCATGTCTATTACACTATATATCGATGTATACAAATTTCATTTCAGTTCCGAGGAGAATCATGAGGAGAACAACAACTCAATTTATTATATATTTTTCCGTTAAGAAAACATAGCGTATTATTTGAACAGAAAACAACTGTGTACAACACTAAAACACTGCAAACATAATGCACATAAATCAGTTCAACAAAATCAGTTTAAAACTAAACGCATCGTACTTTATCGCATTTATTTTCTCATTAATCTTAGCTATAATCTGACAAAAATGTTTTATCACACGACCCACGTCGTTCTAGTATTTCAGGTTTTACTAATAGCACATTGAAATTCGCTACCGAAAAATACATGTAATTTTATAAGTAAAGTTTAAACTATTGTATCATTTAAAAAATCAAATATATACAGTATTTTATACTCGTCTACATCATCACACACTTTGAGTTCTGTTTACTGCTTGACTTAAATTTGATACGATCACGTAAAACTTCGTACTGCTCCAACGAAATAATGAAATTGCCAGTTACTTCCGAATCGTCTTCAGTTTCCAATGCAACTAATTCCCGCACGTCGTCAGGTAAATCCAAGTTGCAATTTACATTAGTGAACATTTCGTACGAACCAAAATAATGAAATTTTACGCCAATAAAAAAGACGTCAATATTCATTTCCTTGGTTGTTTGATAAAAATAAATAATTCGTGAAACAGATTCTCTGATATCCCAATGATATCGGATAGGATCGTAGTGAACAGCTAAAATAATATAAATTGGAAAATTATTTGGACACCTGCAAATGCTCAAGCGATGCGTTATTTCATCCACTTCGTCATATTCAATCGCGGTGTCAGTGAAATATAAATACAACTTCCTGAATTGATACAACGTCAATAGCTGTTGGAAATGAGAGAAATTCGAAGGAAAACAATACACATCTGAATGAGAACAAAACTCTTCCCAATTCCTCTTCAGTTCAATTTGTTTGTGAACTTGGAGCATGAATTCGGGAGTAAATATCTTTTTTTCTAGAGCTCGTAAAANTTTCATATATTTGGTGTTAACTCGACTCGAAGCATTCCTTTAAAATTGAATTTTGTGTTGTGTTAGAGTAATAAGCACAGAGCCCAAACAATTAAGAGTTGAAAGTTGAAATTTGGTACACAATTAAGGTACTTCGTAAAAGTGTACGCTAAGAGGAAATTTTTCGAAATTCCCTTCCACAGTGAAGAAAGAAAGGGTTAATATTAAAGTCTGTGTAAAAATCTTTACATTTTTAAAGAATTCCCTTTTTTTTAAACAAATTAAAAGGAGACTTTGGTTATAGGTTAGGCAGTTAAGTTTTATTGGTGGCTTGTTGAGTGTAGTGTTTTTATTGTTCTCCAACAAGCGTAGTTGAATTATCAAGCNAATATGAATGTAAGGAGAATAATCTTAATTTAGGATATTGTACAGTTTTCATATATTTGGTGTTAACTCGACTCGAAGCATTCCTTTAAAATTGAATTTTGTGTTGTGTTAGAGTAATAAGCACAGAGCCCAAACAATTAAAAGTTGAAAGTTGAAATTTGGTACACAGTTAAGGTACTTCGTGAAAGTGTACGCTAAGAGGGAATTTTTCGAAATTTCCTTCCACAGGGAAGAAAGAAAGGGTTAATAGTAAAGTCTGTGTAAAAATCTTTACATTTTTAACGAATTTTCTTACTGTTTAGGGGAGACCGGAGCAACTTCGGCATGCGGGGCAAGTGTGTCAAGCGCTTTTTTTTTTAAACAAATTAAAAGGAGACTTTCGTTATAGGTTAGGCAGTTGAGTTTTATTGGTGGCTTGTTGAGTGTAGTGTTTTTATTGTTCTCCAACAAGNATATTTCACACAATTTTTTCTGAATTTCGCTATATTTCTATTTTATCCATGTTCGATTTTCATTTTTTATTCGCGTAATTAAAAATTTAAAATAATGAATGTTTTCTGTTATAGGCATAATGCTCTTGTTCTTAAGAACGTAAAATAATGAATTTTTTACAGGTGGAAAACTGTATGCATTAAACACATCTTTTGTTCTAATACAAATAGTAAATTTTTATGGATTCATAAAAAACTTACGGAAGGAAAATATAACCAGAACAAAATACGTTTTAGAATATTTCTATTATATCAATGTAAAGGTTTAATGCATAAAAAAATAAATAAATAAAAGTGTTTACCGTTTAGGACCTCCTTTAATATATTTTCAACTTCCCTCCTTTTGTTGTTTGCCTGTAAGTGAAGAATATTGTATTTATTACATTCTTTGAATTCGTTTTCATAGTTTATAGACAGTTGAATTAAAAATTGTATAAATTAAAAATTAACACTTCTAACGTGTACTTTTTTAGAAATAATATTTACTGGTCAATTTTATGAGGTTTTTGCTTCAAGACGTTTACTGTTTAGTTCTTGAATGGAGTGAAAAAAAAATTTATAAAACTTGAACATCGTTTGTATTGTCTTTGTTTTTTAAAATAGTTATTAAATGCAAAGAACATGATTGTATTTCTCACACTGGAGTCACTTCCTTTCCATGATGATACACCGAATCTGTCACCAGAAACCTAACGAATAAATCGCTATTCGACGTGAAGATTTACGTTCCCAAAATATGCACGAGAAGAAAGAGCTGAGGACCCCGAAATAAAAGACGAAGTCCGATGACGAGAGGAGAGTTCGTCCGTCGTCATCGAAAGTTCGCACTCTCTAGAATTCGTCCGAGTTCTCGGATATCTTACAAACATTGAAGATTGTCATCTAATCGTACCCTAGTGAATTCCCTCCATTCGAAGAGCCTTCTGACAAAACTTCTGAGTCATCAATTCGATCGACAACGAAGAACATTCTCAGATTCTCTATAAGGTATTTATCCGCCCGCGAATCTATGCAAACTCTCTCTCAACACTAGGATTCTCGAGGATAGTTACAATAGCCGTTAGTTATAATGTACTAGCCTTATATAATATAAAAGGGGATAGCCAATATCTATAATAAAGTATTTAAATCATTCCGAGATATCAGTTGAATCATAAAACTATTATGTATAATCTAATAAACAAAATGGATTTCGACAACTTACTTTTGCAATTTCTTTGTAATTAACTGGAGAAACAACTGCAACAACGTCACTTGAAGATGCTGCTACTGCCATTTTTGTAATTCAACTTAAATTATTTACATCTAAGATACAAAAATTTATTAAACTTCTTTTAAACTTCAATTAAAGCAACAGTATGATTTTAAAGTACACATAAGTCTGTTTACCTTACACACAACAGTTGAGTATAACGCTACGCATGCAGATCTTCATATGCAATACGTAATAAATGAATTTTCCTGCACCGATAAACATAAATAAATTTTCAAGTCTATACTCTTATAATGTCTGTATAAATAAGTACAGATATGTACTTTTTATTACTTTTAAATTATCTATAAATACTTGTTTATATATGAAAGAAGCTTGAAGAATTACACTTGAAATAAAATCATTTTCTGTAAGTATGCGTCATTAAACAATATTTTAAGTGGAACTTTAAAGATGAGCATCGCGCCTTCCATATTCTTATTGACAGAAGAAATTTCACGATTTGCTAAAAATCAAAAAAGGCATTTAAAATTGCATAAAATAGCATAAGATTTTATGATAAATTGTTACCATGTAATTATCTAGATTTACTACTAAACTGTGCACAGATTACTTCACAATGCAAACTGCCCAGTTACATAAATACGCGATTATTACAAGTAACAGAACAGTAAATTCTATTGGTGAATGGTTCTAAGGATTCATAAATTTTGGCAGTACATGTATACGAGGGCCTGCACAATTATGACGTAAAACTTTTCATGAATTTATTTATATCCAGATCAAGTTCTACTTCATAAGAGAGCAGGCCCTCGGAGTATTACTATAAAAATGTTAGATTCTTTCATTAGGATCACTACTTATAAAGAATCTTGTAATACATTAAAAAACTATACATTATAGATATAAACCCTTTTGTTCAATATATTTCAAACGTAATCATTTTATAACAGCATTAGCCAAATTTGGAGAAGAACAGCCGGTTTGAAAGATATGTTAAAAGATAGCAAAGGAATATTCAATGGATATTCAATAAAATTATTAAATTTTTCTATATGCAGCGAAAAATAACAGAGATATAAAACAATGTGTAAAATTAACTGTGTGTATATTCTATGGCAGGGATGTTCACTTCCTTGCCCGCCCTATATATAGTTTGTATCTATATAGCTAAGTGTCAAGTGATTTTCTTTCGTATTTTCTCGATAGTTTTATGTGTCTATTTACTGGTTTTAAATTGTGTAAATAATAATAGTTATCCCAACGACAATATTTATTAAAATAAATAAAAACCCAATAGTTTTGCTACAATTAATATTTATTTTCTTTTAAAATCATAGCTATTTTAATACACATAATTTTTATTTATTTATTTAGATAAATAGTGAAAATTATAATTGATAAAAATAATGTTATTAAATCTATAGAATATTCACCTGTTCTAAGTCGGTTTTACACGTTTGGTTGTTTTGTGTGAAAAGTTACATCAATGATTTTCCATCTATTCAATTTCCACTTGGATCCAGCACAACAGAAAATTTTTTAAATGTTTCAATGCAGAAGTGTAGATTATTTTATAACAATGCGCACTCAAGTTCTTTATCTGCGAAAAATTTACTGACAAGATAATTTATCATTTATTCCTGAAGATCTACTTGTAGCGAAGATTGTGTATTGAGAATATATACACATTTCACAGAACATTGTAAGATGAAAACACACTTTTAACGCGCAGGATTTGGTGCATGCTATAGCAAGAGAATATGATTTGACACCTGCCATAGAAGTTTGAATACTGATTTATGACATGATTTTAATGCTTGGAAAATCCTTAAGATTTTGGTAGAACACAATCAGACATTTTTAACATAAATAAGTTTAACTCCTAATACATAAATGTGACTCTATTGCGAATGAACTGTAAATTTCCAAGCTTACAATTTGCAATTACAGTAGAGCCTCGAAAACTCGGCACTCGATAACCCGGCACTCCGGATAACTCGGCCACACCCTGGAAGGGGGAAAAAAACCTTAGATAATTAATTTTCATTATAGACAGTTTTATGCCTCATAAAGTATTTTTCTGAGGTCTGTCTTATCAGGTAAATTACTGTACACAGTGTATTCATTAATTTTCATTTTCATGTAGTAAAGGCTCTATGCCTTCATAAAGGACGTACTTTTCATTTGTTTAAGGGTATTTGGGCAGTTTATTCTCTGTCGTATTCTCAAGCAAACAATACATACAAGTACAGTACAATCTTTTCTGAGGAAACACGCATACTTATTTTTTTTAACCCCATTCCCGATAACCCGGCATTTTCACAAACTCGGCCACCCTTCGGTCCACATTAGGCCGAGTTTTCGAGGCTCTACTGTATTAAGCTTTCAAATTTTACCTATTTATTTATTTAAATTTATCAATACTTACAAATTAATACGTATAATTTACATTATTCTATAAATAAAATTATAATTATAATTATATCCATAATCTAATTATAATTCCGTAAAGTTAACGGATTCGCTATGCCTCGACTTTTCGAGGATACTTCGAATAAATGAAACAATATGTCGGATTGTTTAATATCAAGTATTCATTATAAATAAATAGTAATATGCAGTATAGCTTATAAATGATTTTTTAATTTTTAATTATTTATACTTCATAATTTAATTAAGGCGTCAACACAAGTAGAGAAAAGATCATCCTCATTATTGTAAGTCAATTCATCTTTTGGATCTTATATCCTTCAACTATGAAAATATTTATCTACCATCCATGTATCTTTTTCCACTATTTTATTTCTATTTATCCTGTGTTCTGTAATTAAAAAGCAAATCGAAGATAGTTTTAGATACGATTGTTATAACCATTTCTTCCGATAAGCCTCTGTCTAATTCTCTATATGTTGTACTCTCAATTGATCCCGTGTTATATTCCTCTAGTGTTTTAATCTAGCACTTTTCAAAAATGATATCATAGACTTCACACGAGACTAAGTTTCGGTCGTTCTCTATTATTTACTAACCACGCTTCACTACCATATTTTGATACTTTCTTTAATCCTCGTGTCTTTAAGTAATTTTATTTACATTATTATTTAGTAATTAACTGTTTATTTACGTTATTTATAGAAGTAAAACGAGCATAATGAATACACATATTTTTTTTAAAAGTATTGATAGATGGAAACAGATTATTTCAGTGTAAAATTTTTAGATAATGTGATCAGATAAGTGTCATAGAAGTTTACAGAGTGAGTTAAGACGTGTTTTATTTTTAAATATTTGTACTTGATAAATTTGTTTCAAAATATAATATAGTTGAATGAATTGATTTTAAAAAATATCAAAAATATCTTACTTTTCCGAAGTGAAGTAAATTCCAGTTTTGTGTTAACATTTCATACAATTGATAAACATGGCGTACGAAATACACGCGTCACTCCACTGGAGTACCACGTGAATGCCTCCACGTCATCACTAACTTCAGTGACCTCACTGTACAGATTGAAAGTATCTTCGATTAAACAATACGAAGCGTTTTAAATAATAGTAGTTACTCGATTTCCGGTAACATTACTCCAAAATATAGTGACTAGAAAGGTATACCTGTATTAATCACTACTTTCCTATGAAACTAGGGATTAGCCATCTCGATCTAACCGTAGTAACTGCAATTAAACACTACACTAAGACATTCGAGGAAGTTGTTTTACGCAATTGTAAAAGGAAACTGTACTTTAACCTTGATAGGTTTTACTGTTAACTGCTGCCATCTATTATTAAAATTTTACAAAAATATGATGTATAACGGTAAATAGGTTGTAAGCACGCTGACATTTTAATTTTGTTTATAGTCAAGGGAGTGTAAAATATAAGGTAATAATACTTTTAGGAATTTTTTCTTGTTATTAGTAATTTATTATTTAGCGTTTATTTTCCTGACAGAATTTTCACTTCTGACATTAATATAAACTGTTATTCGTAATAAGGAACTTCTGTTGTTTTTATCAGCACACACATTCAGTATTCACCTTATATTATTTAATTATTTGCAGTTTATTTGATAGCGCAAATACAATTTTCAGATATTTCACCAATGCGTGAAATATTGAAAGTGGAATTTCTTTTACTGTATAAAAGTATAACGTAAAAATTCATACGCTTTAATTTTATTCTAAGTGATTCGTAACCTTTATAGAATATAACTTCTATAAAGTTACACCAATAGTAATAGAAGTGATTTTACAATGTTTATTTCTATAGCTTACAAGTAAAATTGCAAAATCCCGGTTTTAACCTTAAACTTCACGATTTAAGGTGGAATAATGCACCTTTCCCCAATAATCATCCTCGTGTTATTTTGTGCTAATTTCAGTAAGTGAGCGTGACATTATCTTTAGGTACTTATTCGGGGGAAAGTTTGCGAATCCTCTTTTATATGACGTAAAAAAAATTCGGTGAATTCTGAAAATTTTGTTTGTGGATTTCGATGAAATCTCGCCATTTCTATTTATTGCCACGACAAATCCAAAAATAGTATGGTGGGTCAAAGTGACAATATTAGTGCACCCCGGACATAGAAGAAATTACAAAGTTCACTACACAAGTTATTTTATTAACAATGTCTCATTTTTCTTTAATAAAACAAAAATTACATAGACGTTTTACTATACTAAAATTAGAATGTTGTGTATTAATATTGCTCATCATAAATACGTAGAAATTCAACAATTTGTGTTCTATAAAGGTTAGAGATTACTCAAAATGAGTATAAATCACACGGATTTTATACTTGTTCTTTATACTCTGATATAGTACAGTATAAGAAACTTTATTTTTATTTCACAGGAACTAGTAAAATACCTGAAAACTTTCCAAAAAGATTGCAAAATTATATTTGCCTACTGCAATTTATTAAATACAATGCATGAATTTTTTAATGTATGATTATAGTATTGAGAATACTTCTGTAAATATGAAACCGATACAGAAAATTAACATTTCATCATACTTATAGCTTATTTACTATTATTAGATTATATTCTTAGAGAACTTTGAACAAGAAGATAATAGAAATTGACAATGAAACATTTGAAGGCTAAAATTTAGATTCCTTTTAGAATTACATAAAATTATTCCTTTTAATGTCTGAGTGTAGTGTTTGCTCGCTGTTACTGCGGTTAGGACGAGATGGTCAACTGCTCGTTTGACCCATAGACTGTGATTAATATAGGTATACCTTTTTAGTCTTTACGGGTAATCGAGTAACTGCTATTATTTGTTCTCTTGTCGAAGTTACTTTCNACTTTGAACAAGAAGATAATAGAAATTGACAATGAAACATTTGAAGGCTAAAATTTAGATTCCTTTTAGAATTACATAAAATTATTCCTTTTAATTCTTAGAGAACTTTGAACAAGAAGATAATAGAAATTGACAATGAAACATTTGAAGGCTAAAATTTAGATTCCTTTTAGAATTACATAAAATTACATCCTTTAATGTTTGAGTGTAGTGTTTGCTCGCTGTTACTGCAGTTAGGACGAGATGGTTAACTGCTCGTTTGACCCAAAGACTGCGATTAATACAGGTATACCTTTTTAGTCTTTACGGGTAATCGAGTAACTGCTATTATTTGTTCTCTTGTCGAAGTTACTTTCAATATCATAAAGTGATATCACCGAATTTACGGATGATATCTATAAAGTCACGCGCTTATTGAGGGAGTTAATACATACTATACATTCAATACGCCATAATGGCGAATTGTACGAAACGTTAATACAAAATTCGGATGTGGCACGAATCTTCACTTCGGAAAAGTGAGATATTTTTT